AATCTGCTTTCCTACAATTTAGGGCTCATGTCAGACTACTCTCAGCTTTTATCTGTTCCATTATACACTCTAAAATTGAATGGCAATTTCCTCCCAAGGTTCCCATCATTTCCATCAACCAGTGTTCTCTTTTTTGGTAACAATCAGACTTCAAAATAGAACTTTCCCATGTTGGTTCTTCTTTATTTTGAAATGGCACTATACTGGATTAAAATAAACCCTGAAAAGTCAATGTCAGTGTGGATAGCATTACCTACAGAGCACAGGGTTCTTCACCTTTTGTGTCATGGACACCATTGGCAGTGTGGTGAGGCCTATGGACCCCTTCTTAGAATAATGTGTGTTTTTTTTAAATCATGATTAAAGGAAACATGAAATTTTAGTTAGAGATTAGTGAAAATGTTTTCATATTCAAATTAATGGACTTCCTGAAATTTTTCCATGGGTGACTTAGGGGTTTGTAGACCCAAGGTTAAGAACTGCTACTATAGAGGATTCCATTGTTCCATCTGTCAGCTTTCTGTCTGACAAAATGTGAAAGTAAACTACATGAAGTAAAGATGGCAGCTTACCTAATGTAATACAGATATCTACTACACATTTTTTCTAAAAGGAAAAAAATACTAGCATTCTATTTCTCAAAACAGCCACCTCAATGAAATTATGATTTAGGTGAAGATTTAGCTGGCATAAAGAAATTCATCTCTAGAATGAGAACATGAAAGCTAAAACAAATCACTTGCCATTCAATTATACTAGCAAAAAAAAAAAACCCTGGGCCCAAATAAAGTATTTTTATTGGCATGCCTACTATTGCCTAGCTGTCAGAATTATCATTTTAAATACTGTGGAAAATTGATAGAAATTATGGGTAGAAACTCAATTAAACAAACTGATACTGCAATCTTGAAATGCCTTTGACAGTACTATATGCTGACAATTTTTGAGGGGAGCAGTGTGGAGGTGTGGAGAGGCAATTACCCAGAAATCAATGCATTTTGCCAATATGACCCAATAGACAGTGTGTGGGTGGCACTGTAGATACCATATATAGCTCAAATGGACCCAATATACTGTCTATATTAAAACAAGCAAAATTCTAGTAAAACCCACTTAGATGTTGTTGAGTCACAGTTTTACTGCAACTTTAATAAAAATCAACTGCCAATTTAATAGGTGCAGCCACACATTTTGCCAGAGATTTCCAATTATGATTTTCCCAGTAGCAAACACAAACAAAATTAATGTCAGCCGCACCCCCCAAAGCCTAAACTATATTACTAATGAACTCCCAAGTACTCTCAAAGAAAACTCTCAATGCAAAAACAATAAGGTGGAAATTACTGTAATAATCCAAACGTAGAAATAGAAGAAAGAATTATTGAAATGCAGAGAGGGATTTGTCTGTCATGATCCCATTAACTTTGTTGTTACCATAGCATATGAACAGTGGCATTTTAAAATTACTAGAATGCTCAAATAGCATGAAAATCATATGATTTTACCTACATCCCCCCAACCCTATCTTCTATTGGGTGATGACTAGTTGTATAGTAGGCCACAACTGAAAGGTTCTAAAGTTGGCTTTAATGTGAGTATATGGTTGCATTTAAATTGGAATTTTGGTCACATGTGCAGTAACCAAATTGAATCATAGGGATAAAAACCGTTAGATGGATAATTTTGGTCTCTTATATTTTTCTTTGCTCAAACATCTTTGAAGCTGTAGACCCTTGTCATCTAAAATGTATATTCCTGGAATCATACTTTATTGTTGTTGTTGTTGTTGTTTAGATTAGGTCTTCCTACTTGCCCAGGTTGAAAGTGCAGAATGGTCCAATCCCCCTGTTGATCAGTCCAGAAGCTTTGATCTGCTCAGTTTCTGACCTGGGCCACTTTGTTCCACCTTAGGCAGCCTGGTGGGCCATCATACCCAGGAGTTCATCAATCTGGTGCTCTATCTAATACTGAGACCTGATAAACTTCCAAAAACTCTACTGAAGTTCAAAACCCCCAAGCCAAAGTGGTCCACTAGTCTCAGCCTCCCCAGGAGCAGGTATTATAGGCTTGTGCCACCCAACTCAGATCTGATGCCTCACTCTTAATGAGTTGCATGAGCTAAAGTACATCTTTTCCTATGTAGAGATTGAAATGGTATTTGAGCAGATGATACTCTTTAGGGCTAGTGTTGGCCAAATACCTGAGAGAGGCATCTATCTTCATGCATGGAAGACTTACCTGAAAGATAAGATAGCCGAATGATCTTTGTTATAGATCTTTGGGTATTTCATGGTACTTATCAACCTAGCATGTGCACCATGGCACTGTGGGGGTACACAAAGAAATATAAAAGATGACTGCTGTTCTGAAGAAGTTTATGGTCTAGTTAGGAAGACAAGATGAATATACATTGAAAAAACTGAAAATGCAAAGCAAATCATGAGAAGCATCATGCATAAGATGTACTATTGAAATTTAGAGGAGAAAAATGGCACCAGCTGTGGTTAGGGAAACATTTCCTAGAAAGGTGATGTTTCAGCTGAGTCTTGAAGGATGGGGAAGAAATAAGTACAGAAAATGGAAATGATTTTTCGGGAAGGAGGACAAAGGCGAAAGGTGAGGAGGCATAAGACAGGTTGGGGAGGAGAAAGGAATTGCCTGTAAATAATAATAACTTTATAAGTTTATAAAACCATTTAGTTTTACAAAACATTTGATCTTCTCCATAACCCTTCGAAGAAGATACTGCAAGTGTTACTATTCCAATTTTTCAGACGAGGAAACAACCTTAGAGAAGATAAGTGACTTGCCCACAGTCATATAACTAATAAGTGTTTAAGATAGGCTTTGAACTCAGGTGTTGAGTAACTCCAAGACCAGCATCCCTTCGGCTCTATCTATCATATTGCCTCTTAAGTAGACAACTCTAAATGTAGTAGAGTTTTCACAAAAGGAAGCAGTATTAGAAAAAGTTAGAATTGTAGTTAGTTGCCAGATAGTGGAGAAATCCTTGAGCAGAGACTGTTTCATTTTTGTCTTTGTATCACCAATGCCTAGCACAGTTCTGGCCCCAAATCAAGGTCTTAATAAAAGCTTATTGTCTCCCCAATTAGATTGTAAGCTCACCATAAATGAGGAAAATCCATTCTTTTTATTTTGTCCCCCATAACATCTAGAGAATCAGCATAATGAATTTTTTTTAAAATGTTGGTATTAGAATCAAATCTGGCTTTGAATTTACTCTCCAACATTTACTAGCTTTGTGAACTTGTTGTCATTTAATCTTCTCTGAACCTGTTTCCTCATCTACAAAATGGGGGTGATAGCAAAATTTGTGGTTATTTGCCTTATAAAGTCATTAGGATCAAATGAGAAAATGTACATCCAATAGTAGTTTTTTTATTACCATTGTGTTGGATATAAAATAGAAACCAATATGGAATGGGATGAATAAACTATTCCCTCCATTTTCCACTATAAAATATACTGTACTGTTTCTAGCATTCATATCCCTAGTAAAATTCTGTTTCTAATTTTCTTATTAAAATTGCCCACAGTCACATAGTTAATAAGTGTTGAAGGTGAGCATTAAACTTAGGGGTTGAGTGACTCCAAGCCAGCATTCCTTCTGCTCTACCTTATTACTTCTTGAGTAGACAAGTCCAAATATAATAGAGAGTTCACAAAAGGAAGCAGTATTAGAAAAAGTTAGAATTGTTGCTAGTTGCCAGATTGTGGAGAAATCTCTCGAGCAGAGGCTATTTCATTTTTGTCTTTGTATTACCAATACCTAGCACAGTGCTGAGCTCAAATAAAGTTCTTAATACATTTTATTATATTGAATTGCCTCCCCAATTAGATTGTAAGTTCACTCTAAATGAAGAAAATTCATTCATATTATTTTGTCCCCCATGATGCCTAGAGAGTCAGCATAATGAAATTTTTTTTAAAAGTGGGTATTAGAATCAGAGATCTGGATTTGAATCTTCTCTCCATCATTTACTACCTTAAATTCTCCTTTCGTCATGTTAGTCCTCTACTTGTCAACTTTCAGTTGTGCATTCATGGGCAGTGAAGAGATCAATCTGACCAAAGTAGAGATTGTATTTAAGGGAGTAGATAGAAGCAAAGTAAGATGGGAGCAGATGATGGAAGATCAATGAAAGCTTACTACTTGGGTAAATCACAACTTCCCAGGAACTCAGTTTCCTCTTGTGTAACATGAGAAGGTTGAACTAGATGTCTTTGAGGTCTGTTTTAGCGATGGGGCTATCATCCCTTAAGATCTCAGTAATAGGTAGGAGTTAAAGATATAAAGAACAAAATTCTATCAGAGCGTGATCTGACAGAGCTGTGACCTGTGGAGGAGAGGTTTAGAGTAAATGATTCTAGAGAAATGATGACTTTAGTGCTTAGTGGTGTCTATCATATCTTTTGGTGGCTTTCTCACAAAACAGTGATTAATTTTTAATGGTCTTGAGAACAGCTTGATCCGTATCTAGACTATTATCAGTGGCAAGATTCAAACTCAAATCTCTCCTGATTGTAGGTCCAATGCTCTTTCAACATATTGCTGTTAAGTGAGATCAAACTTCCTACTTGATTCTGTATGTTGTGCAACCATATCACAAAATAACACCCAATAATAGGTGGTGTTTATAGAGTACTTATTATCTTTATGTGCCAGGCAGCATACTAAGTGATTTACAATTATTCTCAGTTGTTCCTCATAACAACCCTGGGAGATAGATGCTATTATTATCCCCATTTTACAATTGAGGCAATTGAGGTAAACAGCAGTTAAGTGACTTCCCCAAGGTCACACAACTAGCAAGTGTCTGAAGCTAGGTTTGAAATCCGATCTTCTTAACTACAGACCAAGCACCCTATCTACTGTGCCTCCTAGCTGCCTAACTTCAGAGCTCATTGTTTATAGTATTATTTTGTGTCTCCTTGATTTCATCTTCCTTGACTATTTCTTTTGTTTTCTCTCCCACTAGGATTCCCTCCCCTGTGTTTCTTTGGGGTCCATTCCAAATTTGCGTAATTGAAGACAGAGGTTATGAAGTCCAACCTAGATGGCCTCGCGGACACCACCTTCCGGACCATCACAACAGACCTCCTCTACGCAGGCTCTAACGACATTCAGTACGAAGATATCAAAAGCAACATGGCATCCAAACTAGGATACTTCCCACAGAAGTTCCCTTTAACTTCTTTTAGGGGTAGCCCATTCCAAGAAAAAATGACTGTGGGAGATAATCCCCAGTTAATTCCATCGGACCAGATAAATATCACAGAGTTTTACAACAACAAATCTTTATCCTCATACAAGGATAATGAGGAGAATATCCAGTGTGGAGAGAACTTCATGGACATGGAATGCTTCATGATTCTAAATCCTAGTCAGCAGCTGGCCATTGCAGTATTGTCCCTCACACTGGGTACTTTCACGGTCCTGGAGAACCTGTTGGTGCTGTGTGTCATCCTCCACTCCCGTAGCCTCCGCTGTCGGCCTTCTTATCACTTTATTGGTAGCCTGGCAGTGGCAGACCTGCTGGGCAGTGTCATTTTTGTCTACAGCTTTGTCGACTTTCATGTGTTCCACCGGAAAGATAGCCCAAATGTATTTTTGTTCAAATTGGGCGGAGTGACAGCTTCCTTCACGGCCTCAGTTGGCAGCCTCTTCCTCACGGCCATTGACAGATACATATCCATTCATAGGCCACTTGCTTATAAGAGGATCGTCACCAGACCGAAGGCTGTGGTAGCATTTTGTGTCATGTGGACCATCGCCATCGTGATTGCTGTGCTCCCTTTGCTAGGATGGAATTGCAAGAAGCTCCAGTCAGTTTGCTCAGACATCTTTCCTCTTATTGATGAAACCTATTTGATGTTCTGGATTGGCGTCACTAGTATTCTACTTCTGTTCATTGTGTATGCTTATGTTTATATATTGTGGAAAGCACACAGTCATGCGGTCAGAATGATTCAACGGGGTACTCAAAAGAGCATCATTATTCACACGTCAGAGGATGGCAAAGTCCAGGTCACTAGGCCTGACCAAACCCGCATGGACATTAGGTTAGCCAAAACCCTTGTCCTTATTCTGGTGGTCCTGATCATTTGCTGGGGTCCGCTTCTTGCCATCATGGTCTACGATGTCTTTGGGAAAATGAACAAACTCATTAAGACAGTGTTTGCTTTCTGTAGTATGCTCTGCTTACTGAATTCTACCGTGAACCCTATTATATATGCTCTGAGGAGCAAGGACCTGAGGCATGCTTTCCGGAGCATGTTCCCTACTTGTGAAGGCACGGCACAGCCCCTTGATAACAGTATGGGGGAATCCGACTGCCCGCACAAACATGCAAATAGTGCAGGCAACGTTCACAGGGCTGCTGAAAGTTGCATCAAGAGTACAGTTAAGATTGCCAAAGTAACCATGTCTGTGTCTACAGATACCACAGCTGAAGCGTTGTGAGCTGAAGACTTCTCAGCCACATTGGGAGAAAAGAAATTAGGCTTTTTTTTTTGTTTATTTGTTTGTTTAAAGGAGTCTATCCTCTCACATTTTTAAGTTTAGCATATTCAGTTAAAAGGTAATGGTCACAATGATCATTAGTCATTTAAACAATGAGAAATCGAAACACAACTCTTAAAAGGTTTTACAATTAAGAAAGTTGGTTTGTTCATTTTTTTTTTAAAGCATGTTGCTTGAGTCACCTATGTTTGACTACATAAAGAAAAAAGTTCCGGTGAAATAAATGGAAAACTTATGGGGGAACATAATCCAAACTTTAAGTAGCTGTTTGAAAAATTTCATCAAATGAGTAAAGCCTTTGTAACCATAACTTTCATGCTAATGTAAAATGTATTTGATGTCTATAAATAAGAGGTTTCCGTTTTCCCCCCTAAAAGCTGCAGTACAGAATTAGAACTATTTTGTGAAACTGTATTGTCCTGTGAACTGTGTACCGATGTTTATTACATGTTATTTATATTTGTCTAGTTGGGCAATATGGAAAGATACAGATTTCTATGGAAACAGTACAGAATATACAGTGGATAAGTCCCAGTGAAAAAACCTTATTTGTCAATCATCCACTCTAGAAATCTTACACTTTATTGTCTCCAGTATTTTCATTTTTTCTTTTGACATTTCAGATACCCTCAACCCTTAATTTTTCTGTTTAACATAACATAAGAATAACAGAAGAATAAAGACCCATTCCCCACATTGAACAATATTCATCAACCCCAGCTTTGCAACTTGAAGTTGCAATTTCGAGTTCTAAAGTAATTTAGTTTGCATTTTCTTATAAGGACATTTAGTTAGGATCTTCTGGACTACTGCTGTTTGATTTTGTAATGTATGACTCCAAGAATTGAAGAGCAAAGGATTAGTGGCTTTTCTAACCAATACCTGGTCTTTTCCTTAAGTCTTTAGCTATCCCCAGATCTTTAAGACAGCATGTGTCAATCTTAATGTAAGGTGTTATCACTGTGCCGTTGACGTATACTTGAAGAGTATTGCATTCTTATATTCCAGGTTTAAGTAGATTCTGTGCCTGGGAGGTCAAATAAGAGTCTTCATTTATTTTAATTGAAAAGAAGTATTGTCTGGATTAGCAAAACTATACTATGTGAGTGTGAATTTCTCTGTGTGTGTGTGTGTATGTACGTAGATCGTAAATGTGTGTATGTGTCACAGTGATATTATAAAGTTAGAAAACTGTGACTAGGTGTAAATTGTATTGTTGCGCTCTTTGCACATGAATTCAGTTTCTAAAATTGAGTTCTTTTCAACATCTTGGTTAATGAAACTACAAACTGCAAGAAAAAAAATCAGAAAATTTTCATCCACTTTGAGAAAGTATGCCAAGCATTAAAAAGTATCCTTTGGTGTTACTCAAGAACAATACTTATCAAGGAGCAATTGATTAAATATATTCAATGAAAAATTCTGTATTTTCAATGCTAAAGAAAATCATTCTAATTTTCCAGCTTAGGGCACAGAACATATATATATATATGTATATATATATACATATATATGTGTGTGTGTGTATGTGTGTGTGTGTGTGTGTATATATATATATATATATATATATATATATATATATATATTTAAGGAGGAGGCATGGTAGAATGAATGGATAAACAGATGGCCTCAGAGCCAAGGATATGTGAGTTCAAGGTTCTTTTCTGACACATACTGGCTACATGACCCTGAACAAACCACTTAGTCACTTAAGCTCTAATTACTCTAGGCAAATGTGGAAGATGATAAACTGCAGACTAGCTGCCTACCTGCATTGGTAAAGGGAATTTCCTCATTTGAGAGTCCTATCCCTATCTATCTCTAAGGAGGCAGACCTCATTATAAAAGATGAATGTGCCTCACTAAACCTGAAATCATTAAAAAAAAAAGTAATAGTTCATCTAGCCCTTGTGAATCCTAGTTTTAATGGCACTAAAGAGATCTCAGGCATTCCTCAAATTCACCTCTAATGAGGCATGACTGCTCGTCACAGCCTACATGGCACAAGGATGTGGTGGGCTGGGCAGTTTATTTAGATACTGAAGAGATGCAGCCTTGATTATTGCAGTCTGACTCACTTTTGGAGCCCAAATCAGCAAGATCACTTCTCTTTAGCCCAGATTCGCTTGGTAGATATGCAGACCTCTCTTGAACTTCCTGTGCAAACTCTGTTTTTATGAGATTGCTGTCCCAATCCAGGCAGTTGACTGTGATTTATTGACAAGTAGAGATTGGTCAAAATGAGGCTTTTTTTAGGCCCCAATATTTTATTCCTTCACAATGTCATAGGGGCCCAGAAATGGACATTCTGCCAGGAAAGAATGGGATTTCTTAAAAGGCTGATAAACCCTGATGGATTTTATTTATAAACAATCTTCTCTCCTTCCAGAGACAAATCATTATTCTGGCAGCACCCTGAGGCCAGGTCTGTAGGCACAAGGTGAAGTGGAAAGTTTGCAATTATCTGGTGGATTCAGTGAAAAAAAAAGTTGCCCTACTATTCTTATCCCCATTCTCCCATCCCACAATTACGGTCTCTGACCAAATTGCTCCTTGGGCAAAACTGGAATTGGCTGTCTTCATAGACCAGATTTGCCTCAAAATCTCTGTCTTTGTATCTCTGGTCTGTGCAAATGAGGCGTTAGGGTGCTATGGTAGTAATGATTTCTCTGTAGAAAAATAGAAGGTTGATTTATGAATAAATTCTACTAGGGCCTAATAGCCCTTTAAAAAAGTTAACCATTCTTTTGCCCTGAATTATCCAAAGTGGTTATCTGCACAGTTCAGAATTCACCAGGTAAGCTACTCACTCTCCACTCTGTTATGAAACTCTGGCCTCAGTGAAAGTCAGTGGGAGGAAGAGTTGGAGGAAGGCCAAACATTAAAAAAAAATCTAAGATCCTTTTTTTGAAACTGTGTTCCTGTGAATTCAATGCAGACTTTGTAAATTTGTTGTGCTTTCAAGATCTAAATTGTATGTAGTAAATCAAGGGACAATGGGCTGTCAGCACTAAACTCGGTGCTTATCTATATAATAAGAAATAGCATCTTGTGAGATACTATCATGTATCTATTACAATACCTTACATACATACATTCTAAACTAGTTCTGCACACTTTGCCTTTTTTTTCCAATCACTTGCTAACTCAAGTGACTAAAACATACTCCCTGTTGAATATAGTAACTAGAATGACAATTAGTTTAACAAATCAGTTCCTTAAGCAAAACTAGTTTCTTTAATGTGGTTTATGTGTGAGTGTGCTTTAAGCAATCCTGCTTCACAGTCATCAGCTTTCCATTGGTGATTAAAAATTATCAAACAATTCACAAATCTTAGTCCTGAGCACTTCACCATCATGGGCCATAGTTCATGAAGGACCATACTCCTAGGTGACTTTATTTCTTTTTAGGAGCTGACCCAAGCACAGAGTTCCTTTGGCCTGGTCTTCACAGCTGCAATCAACCCAGTAACTGGTCACCAAGCCCAAATTTCTTTCATTATATGTACATATGTATATGTAAAAGAAACTTGAGGTTTATCATGGACTGAATCATGCAGATTGCTTACCTAAACACCAGCTAATTATCAGGACCCCATAAAGCTGTGAGATGGCACCATCAGAAGCCAATGAGATTCTGGTGCTTCAGATCGCTTCTGTAAGAAATAAGCAGCACCATCTACTGTGGGAGAATTTGGCCCTGCTTGAATAGCACTGTAGTTATCATTCTGTCTGTCCATTACAGGTGTTCCATATCTGTAAAAGAGACCACCTATATCATGTGCAAAATTAGACTCCTCATGATCTAATTGTATATTTGTATGATATTTTAAGATCTAAATGCTGTGCTATGGCTAAAATGGTTTTTTCTTGCACTGGCCCTCTGATGAAATGTTAATGTTACCTATTGTAACATAGACAAGACATTTTATCTACTGATTTGGGCTGAATGTATGTAAATAAGTTTAAAACAAATAGCCAGATGTATTAGCAGTGGCCTCAAAATCAGTGCTTTTCAGATAGGGCAGTGTGTTTAAGTGGCTATGGCCGCCTAAAAGCTATCTTCAGATAGATTCCGTGTATTGGGTGCTGGGGATATATGGTTCCCCAAGAAGGGAAACATTTTCTTGTAATAATAAGCAGCTGAGATGCTGGATTATCTGAACTTTTATTTCTAATGTTTCAAAGTGAAGAACACAACTCTTTATTGTCTGTAAATCTAACATTATTGCTTTCTCTTAGAAGAGTATTGTATTGTTAGATGTTTGTTGAGCTGGTAACATCCCTGCAACCGCTGCAATATCCTTGTTAGTAATCTGTATGAAACTTTGTACACAAGTTCTGGTAAAATTGTCATTAAAAGTAGCTTCAACCATTCAACTACCTATGGCAGACTAGTATTTCTCCAACATATACTATGCCCAGACTGTATTTTATTTCTATTATACAAAGAGGAAATATTTAACCATACCCACAATTTTCAAAATTTAAAACTTCAGTCAAATAAAACCCTAGATTATCATGGAGGACCCAAAGTGACCTTGGAAGCTACTTTCTCATTTTATATGATGACATTAGAAGAATAAGACATTCATATTAATCTCTTCCAGATTTATAGAAAAATTAGCATGGTCCAAAATGACACACACATTTCCTGGGGAAATGAGCAAAGGAATATGTGAAATTTAATTAGGCAATGACATGTCCATGTCTACACACACACACAGACACATGCTTGCATGCATACACACTCACTTGATCTCTTGATCAACAGTAAAGAAAATGTATCATGTCACCAAAGAGCATTTATTCACTGAGACTTAGGAGCATAACCCAATAAATTACAATAAATTTACTATTTATAGTGTGAATGGATTCAATAAAATTTAAATAGCTTGCATTTATACATTGCTAAATCTAGCTAGGTAGATCATGGTAATTAAATACTACTTTAAGTATTTTATTCAAATA